AGGCCAGGAGAAAATAGAGATCAGCCTTCCCCGCCCCAGGGCCACCAGGAGGATGAAATTCTTCAGCTCCTTCCTTTGAGACATATTGCACCATCTCTCAAAGCCCTGGAGCTGGGGGGCCAGGTGGCTCACGCCTGTTCATCCTAGCTACTCAGGAGGCTGAGATCCGGAGGATCGTACTTCAAAGCCAGCCTGGGCAAGGAAAGTCTGTGAGATGCTTATCTGCACTGAATTACCAGCAAACCAGGAAGTGGTGCTCGCCCCTGAGCCAAAGAGCTCAGGGACACAACCTCCAGGCCCTGAGTTCAAGTCCCATGACCACACCAAAAAAAAAAAAATAGGAAGCAAGCCTGGGACTGTGTCTGTAGGAAGCAGGTTTGTATCCTGTTGGTGCCAAGTGGAAGTCCTCTTTAGAATCAGACTTTGAGCCAAGGCTTCATTTTCCTGACCGGATGCCGATATTTATCTACCTAGTATCAATCTTTCTCCTCATCCTTACCTCAGCCTATTTTGCCAGTCCTGGGGTTCAAACTCAGGGCCTTGGCACTTTCCCTATGCTTCTTTTTATTTTGTTCACAGCTGGAGCTTTACCACCTGAGCCACAGCGCCACTTCGGGCTTGGTGCTGTGGAGATGGCCCTGAGGAATCGAACCCAGGGCTTCCTGCTTGCCAGGCGAGGGCTCTACCACTAAGCCACCTTCCCAGCCAAGGACTACTAACTCTTATTGGGGGTCAAGGGGGGTGGAATTTGAAGTCAGATACCCCGCTCTCCTATAGAAGTTTGTATGCATGACAGGGAGCCCAAGGAGCTACTGTATAGCAACATTTGACCTATTTCGAAGGTTCTGGGTCTGGCCCAGGCCGTGTTCTCAACTCCTCCGGGAAGCATGGGCCCGTGTCCCAGCCTAGAGGCTGTGTGCCAGGAGGACGCAGGCCAAGGAAGCCCGAGGAGCCTGTGGCTGAAGGGGGGGAGCACAAAAAGGGGGGTGTATGTGTGTGGGGAGACAATAACAAAGACATATGGGAACTTCACCCTCCTTTCCTGCCTCTGGTTCTTGGGCCCCCCCAAAAACAGCCAAGTGTCTCCTCATTACCCCCCCCCCGCCACATCTGTGGCCGTTGTACTATGAGCTTCCCAAGTCAGCTCAGCTCGGATGGTAGACATTCTTTGTGCCATCTGAACGCTAGTTCTCGGGGAGGTCTGCCAGGCACACGCTGCCCCCCCCTCCACCTCTGTTGGTTTGTTTTCTCTCCTGCCAACCTGGCCATGCCGGGCACTGGGCACTGCCCATCTTAGCAAGCCTTGAGCTTTTGATTCTGGCCATTATGAAGGTGTTGGATTGTGAGTTTAAAGGTTGGGGTTCTGGGTCCTGAGTTGTGTATCTGGGGGTATCACTTTGAATCCTGAGGGTCTTGGGATTTGAGACTTAGATTTTTGTTTGTTTGTTTGTTTTCTGTCAGTTCTGGGGCTTGAACTCAGGGCTTAAGTGCTAGCCTCCTCCTCCTCCTCCTCCTCCTCCTCTTCCTCCTCCGCCTCCTCTCCTTCTCCTTCTCCTTCTTCTTCTTCACCATAGTACCACTTCCAATTTTCTGGTGGTTCATTGGAAAGAAGAGTCTCACAGACTTTCCAGCCCAGGTTGGCTTTGAACCACCATCCTCAGATCTCAGCATCCTGAGTAGCTGGGATGACAGGTGTGAGCCACCGGTGCTTGGCGATTGTGTGTGTGTGTGTGTGTGTGTGTGTGTGTATGCCAGTCCTGGGGCTTGAACTCGGCCTGGACACTGTCCCTGAGCTTTTTCTTTTCTGCTCAAGGCTAGTGCTTTACCATTTGAGCCACAGCTCCACTGTCAGCTTTTTGCTGGTTCATGGGACATAAGAGTCTCACCGATTTTTTCCTGCTGGCTTTGAACCACGATCCTCAGAACTCAGCCTCCCGAATTGCTAAGATGACAGACGTGAGTCACCAGCGCCAGCACCTGTATTTCGTGTCTAGGTGTGACAATCTTGAATTTTACATAAGAGTCTGGGTTCCCCAGTGTGGAGTTCAGTTCTGGACTTCTGGGTTCTGGGTGCTGTGAGTTCAGGATTCAAGTTGTGAACCCCGAGTCTCTGAGGTTAGGGTTTAGACATTCAGGATTTGGGTTTGGGATCTGGGTTAAGATCCTGTGATCTGAGGTTGAGCTCCTCCTACGCCCCCTGCTGGCTGTTTATCACAGTCACGTCTCCTTACACCATGGAGGGGGACGGGCAATCATGGTAGGAGCAAGTGACATAAATATTGAGGTCGGTACAGGAGGTGGCTGGGTGGGCTTGGGGACAGATGAGCCTCATCTGGGCTTGGAGATAAGAGTCTCACGGACTTTCCTTGCCCAGGCTTGGCTTTGAACCGCGATCCTCAGATCTCAGCCTCCTGAGTAGCTAGGATGACAGGCATGAGCCACTGGCAGGAGCCCTGGCTCTCTTCCTTCGTTTATGGTGTGTGTGTGTGTGTGTGTGTGTGTGTGTGTGTGTGTAGTGTTTTGTTGATTGTGCCTTTGGGGTCTCTGGGGCCACTGTGAACTATGGGATAAGTAGAGGCAAGCTGTCTGGAGGATCAGTGAGTGAGGCTCAGACACTGCCTAGAGATGTCTCCCTGTATGTCTGCCCGCCCCCCCCCAAACCCCCGCCTGGCAGGCTGTCCCTCCTCTCCTTCTGTGGTATTTCTGACGGTCTCCGTGAAGCCCCCTCCACCCCACCCCCCTCCCCGCCTCCCACCATCTCTTCATTCTCAATACCTTGGCCAACCATCTGGAAGAAAAGTGAAAAATGTGTGACATATTCCCCCCTCTCCTCCCCTCCCCCCCACCCCCACCCCCCCCAAAATAACGCTGGATATTGTCAGAATTCCAGATGTGGGGTGTCCTGCTCTCCAGATGAAGAGAAGAATGTGTTCCTGGCTCCACCCCCCCTCCTTTCCCCGAGGGAGATGGAGGGTATATATGGGGGTTTGAGGGGGGGAAGCGGAGGGGGGGAGAGGATTCTAACTCTGGGCTGCTGGTTCTTTTAGTCACTGAGGCTCAATTGATGGGGGAAAAGGGGTGACCAGGGCCTGCGCCTGAGGACAGGGCTATCTTGATAGCATGCCTAGGCCTGTTGCTTGGCTTTGGATTTCGACACTGAGGAGACTCTCTTGGGTATGGAGGGGTGGGGTGGGGTGGGGGTGGGGAGCTGTCTCTGATGTTTCTATCAAAGGCTCCAGGCACTTAAAAATAACTAGGAACATCCTTCCCCCTCCTCCTATCCCCTAAACTCCCCCCTCCTCCTGTACCCCAGCACAGACACTGGGGCGGAGAACAGAACCCAATGTGCACGCAAGATGTCCCCAACTCTTTTTTGAGTGTGTGTGTGTGTGTGTGTGTGTGCCAGTACTAGAGCTTGAACTCAGGGCCTGGATGCTGTCCCTGGATTCTCTCCCCCCACTCCCCAACTAAAAGCATGGGCAGAGGGACCTTGGGAAGTGTCAGAAAATGGGGTACAAGGGAACTGATGGCCAGTGGCTCACGCCTGTCATCCTAGCTACTCAGGAGGCTGAGATCTGAGGATCACGGTTCCAAGCCAGCCTGGGCAAGGAAAATCCGTGAGACTCTTCTCTCCAATAAACCACTCAGAAAACCAGAAGTGGCTTTGTGGCTCAAGTGGTAGAGCATTCACCTTGAGCTGAAGAGCCCAGGCCTTGAGTTCGAGCCCCAGGGGCTGAGTCTGGGTTATGGCAAGCAGGGGAAGACATCTGGGCAGGGGGGATGGGGGGGGAGGGAAGGCTGCAATCTGGAAGGGAGCTAAGCCTTCAGGAGTATAGGAAAGAAATGGCGGGGGGGGGGGGGGGGGGAGGACTGGGAGCTATAGGGAGGGGCAGTACTAGGAAGCCAGAGGTTGAATGAAACCTGAGACACTGTCTGAGGGAGTTGGTAGCTGTCAAGATGGCCGAGGGCCATTCTCTTGGCACTTGATGGGGGGGAAGGGAGGAGGGATGGGGAGGGGTTTCCTGGAGACCCCAGGACAGATCCCCTTAAATAGGACAGCTGCCGCCCATGACCAGACACTCACTCACGCTCAGGCGTTATAAACACCCAGACATAAACACCCAGAGGGTCAGCACTGCAGATCCACAACGTCTGAGAAACAAGGCCTCAGAGACAGCAGCCATACTCACACATATCCTGTCCAGCATCTACACACCCGACACCCCAGACATACACACAGAGGAGCAGACCTACACCCCACCCAAGACATTGGAAGAAAAGGGCTGGGACACAGGACACAGACAGACCACAGACACACATGGGGGGGGGCGGTTCTAGGCCTGGAGTGGGGGGTAGAGTTTAACTCAAAAGAGTGCCTTTCAGTGGTCCATCCGGGTCTCAACTGCCACCACCCTACAGTTCACGCGGGACCCAGCCTTCATTGGTGTTGATGTGTGCATGCTTTTGTGTGTGTTGTATCTGTGCAGCAGGCCTGCAATTGTGTACAAGTGTGTGTGTGTGTGTGTGTGTGTGTGTGCATAGGCTTGCATGCTTCTCTGTGTGTTGCATGGGTGCATGCTTATACAAGTGTGCACGCACACTTCTCTATTATACATCCGTGCATGTGCACATACTTGTGTGTGCCTGTGTGCGCATGCATGCATGTTTTTGTGTAAGTCTCTGTGTGTGTGTGTTTGCCTCTAGTTCCCTCCCCCCTCCCTCTCCCCAACAGGTGATCACTGAGGAATGAAGCAGCCCTCCCTTCTCCCCCACTCACTCCTGGGTCTGAACAATGCCCTCCCCAGGCCCCAAAATAGCCCCTGAGCAAAGCCAATGTCCTTTTATAGCCCTGTCCCTATTGTGCACTGTGGGGAGGGGGGGAGGGACTGGGGTCAGGAGGTGTCCAAGCAGGATAAAGGCCCAGCCCGCAGGGTCACCGCACCCCACAAACTGCTCTCTACATTCTTCTCTCCCCCAGGCCCTGTGTGTCCTGAGCTCCCATGGCCCCCAAAAAGCCAGAGCCAAAGAAGGAGGAGGCCAAGGCAACTCCTAAAGCTGCTCCAGCCCCTGCCCCGGCTCCAGCACCAGAGCCTGACCGGCCCAAAGAAGTGGAATTTGATGCTTCCAAGATTAAGGTGAGTGAAGGGGCCAGGAAGGTGGCTCCGTGGTAGAATGTTCGCCTCTCCTGCACGAAAGCCCTGGGTTCGAGTCCTCAGGACCACACCATGAGAAAAAAGCCAGAAGTGGCGCTGTGGCTCAAGTGGTAGAACGCTAGCCTTGAGCAAAAGAAGCTCAGGGACAGCACCCGGGTTCTGAGTTCAAGTCCCGGGACCGGCTGTGGTGGAATTCCCACAGTCTCTTGGTGGCTAGGAAGTCTTGTCTGACGGAGAGTCCTGAGTTAATAATCCTAGGGTAGACAGAAAAGGGGTTAAGATGGCATGTGGTGGAGCGGGGGGGGGCAAAGGGGGAGTCCTGCCCAGGCAGGATCAATACTCACCCTGACAAGATCACTGAGCTCAGAGCTGGTAGAACCTCTTCAAGGTCTCAGCTGGGGAAACTGAGGCACTCGGCTGGCTGCAAAGGGAAATCCTGAAAAGTCAGGCAGGAAGCTGGTGGTAGAGCTGTGGCCCAGTTCACCCCAGGAGCCATCCCCACCCCCCACCCCACACCTTTCCTGGATGGAAAAATCGTCCCCAGAGTCTAAACTTGAGGCTATGACAGCCACCTGTGATATGCACATATCAGCACGCAGCACGATCCTCACCGCTCTGGTTCCCGGTTCTTAGCTGGCCAGCGGCCACTCTGCCGCCCTGGCTATGTCCCCAGAGGCCAACCTTGGGAGCTTGCCCAATCCCTGCATGTCCAGCAAGAGCTACTACCCCCATCCGGGCCACGCCTCCTCTTGGTCATGAGTCTTTCCCACAGGCACCTGCCCTTGTTTCTCAAGACACAGGTTCGAATCCCATCTGTGCGGCCATATTCCTTTGCCTCCCTGAGGTTTGCTTTCTTTTCCTCTTCTCTTCCTCTTTTTTTTTGGTCAGTCATGGGGCTTGAACTCAGGGCCTGGGTGCTGTCCCTCAGCTCTTCAGCTCAAGGCGAGCACTCTACCACTTGGAGCCACAGCGCCACTTCTGGTTTTCTGGGGGTTCGTTGGAGATTAGAGTCTCATGGACTTCCTTGTCCAGGTTGGCTTTGAACCACCATCCTCAGATCTCAGCCACTTGAGGAGCTAGGATGGCAGGTGTGAGCCACTGGCACAATGAAAATGGGACCACAAAGGTCTCATTGTCTAGGAACGGGCATGCGCCCTGGGAGGTGTGTGTGGCTCCCTGATCCCTGTCCCCCCCCAAAACCCAGGTCAAAAGTTTTCATCTTCATGCTCAGTTGGTGGGACTCATGGTGACCAATCATCTCTCTTCTGGGGTTCTTTCTGGGTCCTTCCATCACTCCCTGCGCAGTTGAAGGGCAGAGAGATTTAAATCCTGCAGGTCTCAGGAAAGACAGTTAGGTGGATGCTATGGTGTGTGGGGGGGAATGGAGGGACTCTGGGGGAGAAGTGGCAATCGGAGGGGGGGGCAGTCACATCCCTAGTGTGTCCTTGATCTTGGGAAGAGTGACGGCAGGGACTAAAATTAGATCTGGAGTCAGGCACCAACTGGCCAGCAGGCTCCCACCCATGGGCCTAGCTTCTCTCAGAAGGCTGAGATCTGAGGATCGCAGTTCAAAGCCAGTCTAGGCAGGAAAGTCCATGAGACTCTTATCTCCAGTGAACCACCAGAAAACTGGAGAAGTGGCACTGTGGCTCAAGTGGAAGAGCGCTCATCTTGAGCTGAAGAGCTGGGGGACAGCGCCCACGCCCTGAGTTCAAGCCTCATCATGACTGACCAAAAACAAAACAAAAAAAGTGGTAGAGGCTAAGATGCTAGAGCAGAAATAGGCCGAGGGACAGCTTGATACTTGTTTAGCTCTGAGTGATCAGGAGGTAAGAAAGCCTGGTCCTACTTTAGAGCTAATTGCTTAGAGTCTGTCTGTCTGTCTGTCTCTTTTTCTGCCAGTCCTGGGGCTTGAACTCAGGGCCTGGGCGCTGTCCCTGAGCTTGTTTTGCGCAAGGCTAGCGCTCTACCACTTGAGCCACAGTGCCACTTCCGGCTTTTTCTGTGTCTGTGCTGCTAAGCAATTGAACCCAGGGCTTCATGCATGCGAGGCAAGCGCTCTACCACTGAACCATCTTCCCAGTCTTGAGTCTCTCTCTTTTATTTTTCAGATCGAGTTCACACCAGAGCAGATCGAAGGTGAGTTGGGGGGAAGATGGTCCCAGCAGTGGTGTGGGCAAAAATGGGGGTGATGAGCTCCCTTGGGGAGTGCCCACCGTAGCTCATTCCTCGCCCTCTCCTGGCAGAATTTAAGGAGGCGTTCATGCTATTTGACCGCACCCCCAAGGGCGAAATGAAGATTACCTATGGGCAGTGTGGAGATGTCCTGCGGGCACTGGGGCAGAATCCCACACAAGCCGAGGTGCTCCGTGTCCTGGGGAAACCGAAACAGGAAGGTAAGCCACCCTGTCTGGGACTGCACATTTTCCTCAGTGGGTCTGCGTCACGGATGGGACAACCAGAGAAAACCCACCCTGGCCCTGCCCTCTCCCTTCCCAACCTCCTCTTCCACCATTCGAGTTGAAGACCAGGCATCGCTACCCAGAAAACATCACAAGCCAGGAGACCACAAAGATGCTTGCACATCCATGTTCCTTGCTGTACTGTTCACAGAACCAAGTTATAGCAACAGCCCAGATGCCCTACAATAGACACAATGGAATTTTACACAGGTACCATTAGAAAGAATAAGAAAGATTATGTTAGCCCGGCGCCAATGGCTCACACCTGTTATCCTAGCTACTCAGGAGGCTGAGAACTGAGGATCTCGGTTCAAAGCCAACCTGGACAGGAAAGGCTGTGAAACTCTTATCTCCAATGAGTCACCAGAAAACTGAAAGTGGTGCTGTGGCTCAAAGTGGTAGAGCAGTAGCCTTGATCAAAAGAGCTTAGCGCTAGTACCCAGGCCCTGGGTTCAAGCCCCACAACCAAAAAAGAAAGAAAGGAAGGAAGGAAGGAAGGAAGGAAGGAAGGAAGCAAGCAAGCAAGCAAGCAAGCAAGCAAGCAAGCAAGCCAGGCAGGCAGGCAGGCAGGCTGGTTTTGTTTTCTTTCCCTTTTGTTCTGTTTGTTCATTTATAAGTCTTTGGGAGTATAAGCAGAGGGACAGAAATGGGGGGACAAAGGGCAAACCAATGCAGCAATGGTATCCACTGGACCCTTGACTGAAAATGGATTTATACGACTTGTGGGTGCAAATGGGAGGGGAAAACTGGGAGAGAGCAAGAGATGGGGTAATATTGTCCAAATAAAATATTATTTTTTTTTGGTCCTACAGAAGACTTGAACTCAGGGCCTGGACGCTGTCCCTGAGCTCTTCAGCTCAAGGCGAGTGCTCTACCACTTGAGCCATAGCGCCACTTCTGGTTTTCTGGTGGTTCATGGGAGAGAAGAGTCTCACAGACTTTCCTGCCCGGGCTGGCTTTGAACCGTGATCCTCAGATCTCAGCCTCCTGAGGAGCTAGGATGACAGGCGTGAGCCACCCTGGTCTTCCCAGCCCACTAAATGCCATAACTTGTGCCTCTGTCTCTTTTTCTGAGTGATCAACAACTTCCTTCTCTCTTTGTCCTCTGGCTGTGTGTACCTTGGTCACAAGTAGAAGCCCAGCCCTTGGGCTGGGAAGGTGGCTTAGTGGCGCTCACCTAGCATGCATGAAGCTCTGTACCACATCCACAGTAAAAACCAGAAGTGGTGCTGTGACTCAAGTGGTAGAATGCCAGCCTTGAACAAAAAGAAGCTCAGGGACAGTGCCCAGGCCCTGAGTTCAAGTCCCAAGACCAAACAAACCAATAAATAGCTGGATTTCTTTCCCTCTCTTGGCAGAACTCAACACCAAGATGATGGACTTTGAAACCTTCCTGCCCATGCTCCAGCATATTTCCAAGAATAAAGATACGGGCACCTATGAGGATTTCGTAGAGGGGCTTCGAGTCTTCGACAAAGAAGGCAATGGCACTGTCATGGGTGCTGAACTCCGCCACGTGCTGGCCACGTTGGGTGAGCCCCGCTCTCCTCCCCCCTCCCACCAATCCCCTCCTTGGTAGGCAGCAGTGATGTCATTGGGGGAGATGTTGCGGGTGGACCGGGCATGGTAGTGCATGTCTGTAATCCCAGCAACAGAATCAAAAGCAGGACAGGGACAGGACAGGAAGGTGAAATCACAGTCAACTTACCCTATTGCTCTAGGTGGCTGAGAAGGCTTCACATTTGCTCTTGGGTGGGCTGGAGGAGGCCTCTTATTTTGTTTCCCATAACTGGGGCTTGAACTCAGGATCTTGTACTCTCCCTTGGCTTGTTTGTTGTTGCTGCTGCTCAAGGCTGGCGCTCTACCGAGGAGCCATTTTTAACTTTTTGCTGATCCTCAGATTTCAGCCTCCTGAGTAGCTAGGATGGCAGGCTTGTACCTCTTGCTTATCGATCCACTCTCCGGTTCTTCCTTACTCCTCAAAGCCACATTTCCTAGAGCAAACATTTATTGAGTGACTACTATTTAAAGCCCTGTGCTAGTCTCTGTGGTTGTGGGTGGGTGGGTGGATACTGCAGAGATTGGTGGGCAGGAAGCTATGGGTGGCATTCTCATGAAGAACCAGTGAGACACACAAGTCCATAACTGACCAAAAATGATGGTTATGAGCTTCGGAATGATACTGTTGTTGGGAGCATGGGGATGGGGTGGGGTGGGGGGTGAGGGACCTCCATTCATCTATCAACCCATCCATTCATCCACCCACCCACCCATCCATCACCCACCCACTCACCCACCCACCCACTTACCCACCCATCTACTCACTCACTCACCCATTCACCCATTCACACATTCCCCCACTCCCTCATTCACCCATTCACACATCCCTTCAATCAGCCATTCACACATCCCTTCAATCAGTCATGCGCTCACCAGCTCACAGGTCTTCAGTGTCTGTAGAGACTTCTCTAGGACAGGCACAGATCCCAGTG